TTTTTATGAGTCTCAAACACATACATTTCATTTCTAATGACCTTCCGCACCATTTCATGCAAACAAATGCCTGTTTACAATTTTTTCAAAAATCGAGTGGTTTTAAGTCTAATTCTCCTGCACTAATAGCTGCGTTCGGCATTGCAAACGCGAGGTGTCGGAGTGCTCCTCCTCCCTGTCTATCTCATTCTCCCCTCTCGCTCACTCGAATGCGAAAGAGCACTCCGACGCCTCGGATTTGCAATGCCGAACGCAGCTAATAAGTACTCGGTTGCCGAAGTACAAACGCTTGTGTGTATATTTAAGGTACTTGCGGACGTAACGTTGGCGGACAATCATCACCGTCGTCGTACCTTCACGGCGAACGGTAACCTGGAAGGCATCACGATACGCAACTTAGTGGATGGCGAGACCTTGACTTACAGCCTGGCCCTGATAAAGGGTCGTGCACCCGCGCTATGCAGCTACATTACCGTTCGGGGACACAAGAACGTGACCTCGGAGTGGCCGATCGTCGCCGGGCAATTCCGCGTCCTGGTGGATCTGGCACGCGGTCCGAATAAATTAGAACTCGAGGCGGGCGGGCACAAGAGAAGATTGGTCCTCATTTACGAACCGAGAACCACCAGGCTGCGGGTAACACCGGTCTACGTCATCTGCTCGGGTCACGATGGTTATTTTCAGGTAGCGACAAGAGCAAATTATAGCTGTACGGTAGTCCCCTAAGTGAAATGTGAGAGGAGTTATTTTTGCATTTTGCACGATCGCTTTAAGTCACAGTTCGGAAAATTATTTTAACAAATTGTAATCGATGTTGAAATGAGACACATTCGGGAAACGTGGTTCATTTAGTTTCGATTAGCTGCAATTGCTACTTGAGGAACGCAATACAGATAAGTGATCGCGACTCATAATTCAGCTACTTGGAACGTAGCGTGCACCTCTTCAATTATCGATCGCCATTCTGCTGCATGAATAGCCGTGTGTTAGTCTTGCCTACGTTATTCCGGTATGATACAATACAATTGTGTTCTCTCCTGATTGCTCAATCTTGTGAAACAATTATGATTTTACGACTTATTCGTATCGAAGCCATCGCAGGTCTGATCTTCCAGGGTCCACGCAACGAGGATCGTTCACCGGAGAGCGCGGCAACGAGAATAGGGCTCGGTGCCAGGCTTCTGCAGACCCTGACAGCCGAGAAGCTCCAAGAGGCCGGTTACAGTAGAAAGACCTTCCAGCTGGAGAGAGACCTGGACGGTCCGGAGTGCCTGGTGATGCACAGTATGCTTCACGTGGACCGGGCGCGAGCGATGAAGCAGCGAGAACTGTGGGAGTTGATTGCGCGTGAGCTGATGACCGGTCCCTTAGCATCCAAGGATCGCAAATACTTGGCATTTCTGTCGTGCACGAGGTACTGTGGCGCGCCCAGTCCTCGCACGCATGAGAACACCTTGGCGAGAACGCAGGGCCATGCGGCCCTCGGCGGTGGTGGCCTGGCGCTCTTCGGTTCGGCGTGTCTCCACACCTGGCCTACGTGTATGGCTCAGGTTGGTTAACGTTCATCATTAAGGCAATTCGATATGACGAAGAAGATCCGTGTATTGTAGATTCGCTTCGTATTTCATCTGCTGCCGAAGAGAATATTTCCAAAATAGAATCTTTCATATGATTTGTCAGGTATTACCGAGATTCCTGGATGCCACTGTCATCGACACCGAACAGCTGATGGACGACAGTAATTATCGCGGCACGCACGGTGGTTGCTTAGCGACAACGTTAGGTTCCGTTCTACACGAGCTTGGTCACACCTTTGATCTCGGCCACACACGAGAGGGAATAATGGGCCGGGGATTCGATTACGTCGACAGGGTTTTCATGGGCGCCGCTGGGATCGATTTCAATCGTAATCCTATCAGAAGAGACCCGCAGCATACGACTGTCGCTCTTAGTCGACCACTCAGCGTCACAGTAACTGTGCAAGAATCTATATTATCAAGCCCACGAAGGGGTAGATTGCTCTCGGAGACATCTAGACCCGCGCCGTCGTTTACCACGAGGCAGTTACCCGGAAGACTTTCAGCGCCGGCCAGTCCTGAACTTAATAGATCTCTTTCTAAAAGCCTGATCGCCTCGGAACCTTTTTCACAGCCCGATCGAACATTCTGGGGTCCATCGTGCGCAACGTTACTCGCGTATCATCGATGGTTTAACAGCGAAATGGACAATTTTTCCAACAGGCATCATCACGAGATAGAGTACGATGGAAAAAGGTGAGTGTCATCAACGATATACTCTCGTTATAAACAGGGTGTTACGAATAAGGTGAAAAGAACAGTTATGTACCATTTTGTAAAATTCGCACTAGTTCGAGTAATTAATTAAAACGTTTGAGCGAATAAGCGCGAGGAAAAAGGTAGGCCGAACTCGGTAGGCATATAGAATAGCTTATTTGTTAATCTTCTAGCAACGGTGAACATCATTTGACAGCGGGAAATGGAGCGATGCGTGGCACATGACACCACGCCGAAAATTTGTAATAATAACTATTGCGAATTTTACAAAATGATACTTTTCTTTTCAGTTTAACCCGCTCTATCTGTATTCGCTTCGTGCGATGATATACTATAGCGGAAAAGTAGGACTTAGGGCGCTCATGGTGGCCGAAGTTTGCATTATTTGCTGGAGTGACAATTATCGAAAAATGGAAAAATTGCGAAAGGGAAATTTAAATTGTTGCGTGTATTCATATAAAAATGTATTTCACAGATTTAAGATGTCTTTAAGACGACATAACGTTGTCTGGGATTTTACTTAAATTTCATTTAATATTTACATGTAATTGTACCTTGTACGGAGTAGCATTGACAGACGTTTGCGGTATCACACTGCATCTTATTAAATGACTTATATTTTCACTGCGCAATTCTTCAACGCGAACTACATGCGATATTGCTAAGGCTTTTCCTTTCGGTATTGCACTCGGATTAAATTTAATGTCATGAGTAATGGGTACAAATCCCGTTTGTATGATAACCCAAATAGCACAAGGACGTCCTGAAGACGTCCTCAGAATATCCAGGACGGGACGTCAGGACGTTTGGGGACGTCCCATTTTAGTCCCGGGACCTCCTGAGGACATTCTGTGGAACACCCGATGCGCGCCTCATTATATCCTCACGAGGTCCCGAAGACGTCCTTAGAAAGTTCTTCAGGAAGTCCACAGGACGTACTTCAGAACATTATAAGGATATTTTTGGGATAGCCATAGAATCCCGAGTAACAATTGAATCTAGTGGCTGTCTAGTAACGGCCTAGAAAAATTGTGTCGTATCTCGCCACTAAGAGG